GATAAAAACTGTCACAGAACAGAGTTCAAGTGCTGTGGAGGTTTTGTTAGTGCTTTTTCTTCTTGTAAAAATGTCAACCTGCATTTCAACGCTAGTTATTACATATTCATCTTTCATTTCTTCCCCAAATAAAACACATGTGAATGTGCTCCTGTTTAATAAAAACAGACTAACCTAATATGCTACTAATTATAATGAAGGCTTTCATTCTTTGTTGTAATTCTGAGTGAGTCATAACAAGTTTTATTACCCTTACAGTCACATCTAAGTCATTCTCAATCAGTTTTTATTGCATAAATGGAAAAAATGTTAATATAGTTCAGTAAGTAACAGCTTCAAATTCTCAGATTTGCTCCGCCTAGCAGGTGAAATTTTTGTGCATTATTCCAAACCCACTAGGTTGGAATCTTCTGAGGATTAGATTTTCATTCCTATTCCCATAACCTTTCCTTTCTGTTGTGCTGTTCATCCATTTTTGTTACTATTCAAAGCAAAATGAGAGAGAAAGAAGAATGCAGCCACTATGTGAAAACTTAACAGGAAAAAAAAGGATTATCTTTTGAAGTGGGAGGATAAGCCTGTTTGGGCCCTAGAGGGTAATAAACCAGCTACATCATTGGGCAAATTGGGAAGGTTAAATAATTTTTTTCTAAGTGATCAATTATTTAGCAGCCTTTCTAGTGACTGTTACAGTATTTGTGAAGTAACAGCAGAAGGGAGGTGCATGTTTGGGGTAGATTCCTGGTCCTGAGACCAGTATTAACATGCGGGTTCACACTGGTCCATGAAAAGCTGCTGCCTCGCTTCCATTCCTCTTTCCCACAAGCTCACCGAGAAGTGAGGTCAAAGTGCACCTGGTTTTCCCTCTCAAAGCAATCATTTCACGGGTAATCCTTTATTCCATTCTGTACATCTGGACAAGGCCTACATCTTCACAACACTGACTTCAGCTTGTTTTGTTGCCTCTTGTCTTCCATCTTGGAATGCCCCATGTAGGGAAAGGGGAGCTATGAGTCTTTACAAGTAAGAAATGGTGCGGTGGTTTATGCCTCTAATCCCAGGACTTTGGGAGACTGAGGCAGGAGGATCACTTGAGGCCAAGAGTTTGAGACCAGCCTGGCCAACATGGTAAAACCCCACCTCTACTAAAAATACAAAAATTAGCCAGGCGTGGTGCCACTCACCTGTAGTCCCAGCTACGTGGGAGGCTGAGGCGGCAGAATTGCTTGAACCCAGCAGGTAGAGCAACAGTGAGCCAGTTTTGTGCCACTGCACTCCAGTCTGGGCAACAGAGCAAGACACTGTCATTTCAAAAGAAAAAAAAAAAGAAATCGACTTACTGTGAATCCAACAATCAGGATTCATGCAGCTAATAAAAGTGTGGTAAGGGCTGAGCGCAGTGGCTCATGCCTGTAATCCCAGCACTTTGGGAGGCCAAGGCATTCGGATTACCTGTGGTCAGGAGTTCAAGACCAGCCTGGCCAACATGGTGATAACCCATCTGTACTAAAAATACAAAAAGTTTGCTGGGCATGGTGGTGGGCGCCTGTAATCCCAGCTACCTGGGAGGCTGAGGCAGGAGAATTGCTTGAACACAGGAGACAGAGATTGCAGTGAGCCGAGATCTCAGTATTGCACTCCAGCCTGGCCAACAAGAGTGAAACTCTATCTCAAAAAAAAAAAAAAAGAAAAAAAGTGTGGTAATATAATCTTTTGTGTCCTTTGGATAGATTTATGCAGAATAAGGCATTAGTAAATATATCTATGTAGATAAGAAATAGGCAAAATTAAATTATCTTACTGATTGCAGAGTATAGGGAGGCTGTGGGTAGTGGTGTGCTGATAGATGTTCCCCCTACTCTCTGGGGGAAAAAAGCTCTGACTTATACTGTCTGCATATCTCTATGGTGTAAATATTTCCACCATGGCCAATTTCAAGGTACCAACATGATGTCACTGAGTGCAGATATGGAAAAGGTACACAAAGTGGGCTCCCCAGGTGGTTGTGAGCCGGCTCCAGCATGCCAGTGGTGTGGACAAATACACGGTCTCACCCTCCGTTGCGGACCATCTTCCCGCCAGAGATTTCACAAGTTACTGACAAGTGGAAATATTAACTGGTTTATTCTTAGTCTTTAAATATTTTCTAGGTAAAACTCTCAGTTACTAGTGATGTTATAAAAAAGACAAACACATCAAAGGATGGTATAACATTCTATTTTGGATCACAACCTATCTCTCCAGGGTTCTCATTCTTTTTCTTATATAGCTAATCTTATTGGCTTCACACTTCTGCACCTTTTCTGCTCTCATTTCTATTATCAAGCCTCTCCCAGCCGCACAGACCAAAACCCACAGGCCATGCCTTCAACTCTTGCCTACAAGAACCCACAGCTATCTCACTCTCTCTTCCTTCCTCATCTACTCTTTAAACCTGCAATCCAAGATTAATCCAATTGTATTCTTTCTCTTCTCCTGACCTGGATAGCTGAGCCCATGTGGAGAAAATCCCAGCCCCCAGGCAGATGGTATTCTTCAGATTTATAGCTTAAACGTCAGCATGCCTTCAAGTATGTCAGTGACCTTTTTGCTGGATTCTGTCTTCATTTCCATATATCTGATATTTCAAATATTTGTTCTTTTTTAAACCCAACCTCCCATCCTTCTTTCTTTCTTACCAAATGATACTGTATCCAGATTCTCACCTGTAATTTCCCACCTATACAATCTGAAAATATATCTACAAACTTGCTTATTCTTGTGTATTTTCCGCCTTCCTCCTATATCCAAAAGTCAGATTCCTAGATCTGTGTGTTGGTACCTGTCCCAGTTATCTGTTCCTATTTAGCATACCACCCCCAGAATTAGTGGCTTTAAAACAACAATTGATTATCTCTCATGGTTCTGTGCTTTGACTGGGCTCAGCTGGGTATTTCTCACTGGGCTCACCTCCAACAGTTGAAGTCAGATGGTGGTTGGGGCTACAGTTACAGCCTTGACTGGGCCAGAGATGCAAGATGGCGCACACACAAGTTTGGAAATTGATGGCTGGCTGGGAGCTCAGGTGGGTGTGAATGAAATACCTACACAAGGCCCTTGCATGTGGCTTGGGCTTCTTAAAGAGCACACCAAGAACAAATATTCCAAGAGGCAGGAAGAAGCTCCCACGCCAGTTAAAGGCTTGTGCCCAGAAATGGCAAGGTCTCATGTCTGCTCTATTCTGTTGATCAAAGCAGTCGCAGAGCCTAACCAGGTATCAGTGGGTAGAGAAGCAAACTCTAGCCCTGGTGGGAGAGTAGAAAGGTCACATGGCAGAAGAGCAGATGGGATGGGAGATATTGCAGCTGTCTTTGGGATCTGCCATCTGCCACCAACATGCTAAAATTCTCCTAGTTTTCATCTTCTTCCTTCCTACTGACTGCTCTCCTGCCTTAACCTTTGAGCAAGTTCTTATCACTATGTTGTTAAAAGCAAAAGGTATAGAAATCAATGGATGTATCATTTGTGATATGTATACTTTTTTCTATGTATATTATATAGATCAACAAAAAGTTTAAACATGGTAGAGAAAGGGAAGAATTTGTGGCTCACTGCTAGCAAATTTGTAGGTCTTCCTAGAATTTATTTTTGATGCTAATTTCAGTGGTAGGTGTGTCTCCAATCCAGCACTTTTCTTTCTAGACAAGAGAACTGATTAATGTGTACCACACATGTATAATAGTATTACAGTAACACGTGCTAATATTAGGACAAACCAAACTACTCCATATATCTATTTCTATATCTGTCTAGAAAGCAAAAACTCATTTTTTTCCATTCCTTACTTTCGTTAATAGTAAAATGATGTAAAAATTGGACTCAACTTGGATATTGGAGGGATTAGATAGGTCTAAAAAACTCTTGAGTTCTCAGAAGAGAAAAGATCCATGTAAATATCACATATTTGATTTCTATTATACTTCCAATGAAATTAGGTTATTTAATACCCCTTAGAAACTGAAACAATGGGTTGGGCACAGTGGCTTACACCTGCAATCTTAGCATTTTGGGAGGCCAAAGTGGTCAGATCACGAGGTCAGGAGTTCAAGACCAGCCTGGCCAACATGATGACACTCCATCTCTACTAAAAATACAAAAATTAGCCAGGCATTTTGGTGCGCACCTGTAATCCCAGCTACTCAGGAGGCTGAGGCAGGCGAATCCCTTGAACCCAGAAAGTGGAGGTTACATTGAGCTGAGATCATGCCACTGCACTCCAGCCTGCAGGACAGAGCAAGGCTTCATGTCAAGAAAAAAAAAAATTGAAACAGCGAATGTCCTGCATATATACTTTAGGGTGGAATTTCTGCTCTGTCCCGACAACAAAGACACAGCATTTTCTAAGCCCTGATTTTATGAAAAATTACAAAATAGGCAGCCTTTGGGCTCTTCCATGTTTACTTCCATGTGGTGTCCACTTCCTCTGCACCCCTCTGCCATGTTACGTTCTTTCCTCATGCCTTATCAACATAATGGATCATTTAGAAAACTGCCCATGAGTCATTACAAAAATTAAATACCCAAGTGCAATGGTGCATTTCTGTGGTCCCAGCTACACTGGAAGCTGAGAGGATTGCTTGAGCCCGGGAGTATGAGGATCAGTCACAGCAACATAGGGAGACCCTATCTCAAAAAAAAAGTAATGTCCAATTTTAAATGGTTTATTATATTGCCATTGTGATTACGTATATCTTACGTTATGCCAGACCTCAACCCTATTTACCATCTTAAAATCTAAAATCTTTCTTTACTAGCAAAGAAATAAGAGAATGGTAACAACATTTTAACCAAGAATCCACAATATTTATGTATTTTTATGAATTCTTCAGAAAAATAAATAGGAATGACATCCATCTTTAACATTTTTGTTAAAGATTATTTCAATGAAAGTAATAGAATTTAATAAATATACTTTAAAAGATATGTACATTAAACTTAGGGACATTTGGCATTTTAAAAAAAAAAGGCCACAAGGTATTGAGATTATTTTGCCTTGACATGTAAACGTATTGCCTATCTCGGGATATATGTGTTTAAATCTTGTGTTTAAATCTTCTCAATAATTATACAGTAGTATTATTTATTCTTTTCTATGTTAAAGCAATTTGGACTGCATGGATCAAGGGCTAAGTCTCCACTGCAAAGACTCACCCTCACAGAAACGCCACTGTGGCTCTCCAAGTGACTCTGTGCTTCAGTGATTTCCGAAATACTAGTAAATAACAAAAACTTTAAAGAAGTCAGCCCTCTGAGACCAAGAGTTGGGTCTTCTGATTCTCAACATGAAGCTGTTATGACACTGTGTCTGTGAATTAGGACCGAAAATGGAAAGCAGAAGTCTCCAATTAGTAAAATCCCTGGTTACAAATTCTTGAGTTTCTTCTTATTTCCATTTTCAAACTTCAGCCTTAAATCCATGTGGTCTTTAACCAGCCGCCTGCCCAGCCTTCCGCAGTCAGGCATCAGTGCACTTCTGCCACAGCCCGGGCAGCACCAGAACACGGTAGCAGTTGCGCTGGCCTGAGCAGTCTCCAAACAGTAAAAAGTGATTTACTGCCTCTTTTTCGTTAATATATCTTGGTTGCCTCCAGCCTTGTTATTTTCTCTAGACATTACTGGACTCACTAACGCCGTGGCCTGAAGTAGGCAAGAGGCAATGTACACTCCCACCCTCGCCCCCCCAACTTGCAGAGAAGAGCAACTCTCTGCTATTGCGCCATAAATAATTGAACAGTCTCTTCCAGGCAACACAGTCAAGATGCAGATTTAATTTATTCCCTGGGAGGACTAAAGGTGGCTATGTAGACCCGGTTCACAGTCAAGCTGAGCTGGGGACACCGGTACTTTCAAAATGTGTCAAACTTACGGAGCACATGCCCCGGGGTCCAGTGTCAAATGCCATTGCAAAGAATGGTTCTTTTCTTTGTAGCTTTGTTCTGTTTCCCTTAGCATTCCTCATTAGGAAAGGAAACTTCATTCCACAACAGAAAGGGAAATGATACTGATGTAACTGGGTAGCATTTTGCATATCTCGAAATTCACTGAAAATCTGTGTGCCAAATCTCATGTCATGTATTCTACCTTACTTTCTTTAGAAGATTTCTTTTTTAAAGCCACCTGCAACTTGATGTCTAGAGTTGTTTTACATAACACAGTCTGAAAAGGACACCTAGTAAAAGCTGCAACTTCTTTGCTTGTTTTAGAAATCTAGTGGGAAAAAGAATGGAAAAGAGGGAAGGAGGAAGAGGAGGAGAGAAGGAAGTAAGAGAAGAAAGAAATCCATCTCAAGCATTTCAAAAGACTTCTAGGAAGGACTTTTAGGGTGGAACCAGGGGACATAACAGACCCTGAGGCCACCAGCAGCAGAAGGACCCAGGAGTGAGGGGAGAAATGGGCTTTCCAGGGGCCACTGGGAGCTGAAGGAGAGAGGAAGTAGTGGAGGAGGGCAAACATAATCAGAAACTTGATAACTCAGCCCAAACCAATACAGTGCTGAAACACCCAGACATATACTCAGGTCCCTAAGTCTCCTTTTATAGGAGCTATGATATTGAATACATTGATTTACACCTATTATCTTCCATTGCCTATTTGACATTCTATTTTGCATTTCAAAGAAGCTTATATCTTAAAGATATTCTATTCTGTCTTTTAATTACTCATTTTAGAAAATGCTTGATGTTTTCCATGTGAAATATTTCCTTTGGAAAGCTCCTGTCCTTCCCTTCCTCTCTCCCTCACCTTTCCCTACATGAGTATTTGCAAACTATGCAGAATATGACTGGAATCTTCCTGGCAAGTACTTAATCAGACTGCAGCTTTGTTTTCAAGTCTGTGTTGCGATGATTGTATCCCTAAGGAAATGGGTTACGTTTTGGAAAGACAGTGTAATGCAGAGGCCAGAGCTGTCTTCCTGACCTGGGAGGTGATTTGAGGAAATGACCTCAAGAAATTAACTTCTCACTTGTTTCTAAATGACTTTGAGATACAAAGAAAGAAAAAAAATCAGTTACTGCAGAAGTTCAAAGAAATGAAGTTCTACTGAGTGCTTTATGAATTTTTTTAAGTGTGATTTTCCAAGTGATAGAAAAACATTCCAAATCATGGTGTTGCCTGATTCACTGCGCACAGCTGTCAGCTGATCCCAAACATTAAAAGCTTGGAGAAAACCAGATAAGGGTGACTTCTAGTCCATCTAGACGGATAACAACACAAGGCTGTGCAGACTCTAATATAAACATGTAAAAAAAAAAAAAAAAAAAAAAACAAAAGAAAAAAAAAAAAAAAAAAAAAAAAAAAAAAAAAAACTGCAAAAATTTTAAAGGCTCTCTCATAGCCTGGTGGCTTTTATTGAATTTTTCATTTGTTGTTGCATACATGGGATGAGGAAAGAGGAGACATTTGTCCTTATGGTGAAACCTCTTGCCATAGACTTGAAACCTGTAAAATCATGTGGTTTATGGAGCAGTGTTTTGTGCCTTGGATTCCATATACAGAATTTGACAAAAGGACAGACGTGGTTAGAGGTTCTGAGGTCTTGTCTGAGGGGGCACTTGTTCTAGGACTTTCTTTCTGGGTGACCTTTCTTGGTGGTTAAAATAAAACGTAAACTTTCACCATGTAAGTTTCTCCCTTGCCTGCCTTATGTCAGCTTTCCTCACTCACGCTCATTTGGGTAAATATACACACATCCTTTTATCGGCTTATGTACACACATATATTGTACCAAGCTGGCCAATGCAATATTTATGTTTGTACTTTGAGCTGCCTAAGATTTTGTCATGAAATCTAAGGCTGCTGTAGGGGAGAGAGCGCATAAAACTTTCATGACTCGTATAAAAAAGACAAAATGTTATCATTAATATTTAATAAAATTTGCAGCAGTCAATGAGCAAAATCAATGTTTTTTAATTAAGTTATTCATTTGTAATATGAGCCGTACCTTGTTGTGTATTAGAGTGGAATTTAGGATGTTGAACTTTAAATAAATAAATAAACCTAATTTTAGCCCTCGGGGTAATAGTATTAGTGATAAAACTATTAATTGGTTGCCTGTGCTTTGATAAGCAAACAGGGTTTCTTTAGTGACAACATCTTTTATCCCAAAGTGTTTTCTGAGTCTCAAGCTGGATTCTGTCCAAGGCATTTAGTAAGATGAATTGAGGTTCATACTGTTGATAACAGGCACATCAGTGCCCCGAGCATATTGTTAGCTCCTACCAAGGGTCTCCTATTCGAAATTGGGGCCGCTGAAGGGTGGAAGTTTATACAACCTGAGTGGGTTTTTAACCAAGGTTTTAGAGTCATCATATATTAAAGAAATTAGTTGGATTAGTTTTATTTATTGAATTACTTTTATTTATTAAAGTAAATAAACCAAAGGCCTATTCACCTCTGTACCTCCTCTTTGCTCTGGAATTCATTTCTCTAACCCGCCATCCCTATCTGGTTCTCCTTGTCCCTTCTCTGAGTGCTTGCCAGTTTTCAGAACTTTGCCCCTTTGTCCAGCCTTCCTTCTGGGGTTGTGGAGGAAACAGTTTCCTGTAAGCAAAGTTGATGTGGGAAGGTGGCACATTGCTCTTCCT